ATAAAAGTCTTCACTTCTGGAGGGTCGGGAAAAAATGAGGACAGAACGATTTTCACGTGCCCTTGCTCCCTCTGTACTCATTGCTTTGATAGTGTGGGAGCTCATGGATCTGTTCCATGGGTCTATTCCTTCTGGGAGGAGGAATCAAGTGGGAAGTTGGCTGTGATGAGACACCAAGGCCAGAGAAGTAGTGGGCTGAGATCTATTCTGCCTAGGCAATGAAACCTGGAAGAAAGTTTGATTTTCCATTTCTCTTTTTTTTTTTTTTTGCACCTACAAACTGAGTGGCTTGCCACATGATTGATTCTTTCCAGCCTTTATACCTGTGTTAGCCCTCTTCCAAAGAACAGATACTCACTGAGCACTTGTCATACATCATGGACCAAGGTAAGTGCTTTTCAAGTGCTCTTTAGCCCTTATGAACATTTGGCAACTGTCCATACCCTCATTTTTTAATGTTTGTTTATTTTTGAGAGAGCACAAGTGGGGAAGGGACAGAGGAGTGGGGGGACAGAGAATCTGATGTGGGGCTCAAACTCACGAACTGCAAGATCATGCCCTGAGCATGAGGTCAGGTGCTCAACCGTCTGAGCCATCCAGGTGCCCCTCCATACCCTCATTTTACTCCAAGGAAACTGGCTAAATAACTTGGCCAGCATTACAGAACCAAAGAATACTGTAGCCCAGGGCTAGAGCCCAGATGAAATTTATTCAAAGGTCATTCTTTCTTTTTCCATTACACCACTCTGATTTAATATTTGAGCTCTCCTATTAATACTACCTTTTGGTTTCAAAACAATCACTAATGCAATTAGTGCAAACAATCTATTAGATGAAATAGAATTATCCTACCATGTTAAAACAAAGAGAAAGGTTTATAGAAAACAGAAGTAAAGTACTGGTGTTGTGTGCCATGGTATTGTCTTCCCAAGGAGGAGAATCACTTTAACAGGAAAAATAAATCCAGGCTACAAAAGGAATTTAATAGGAAACTCCTAACAGCTTTTAAACATTCGGGTAAATTCTCATCTGGGAACTACCATCCTTTCTGAAATCCTCATAGCCTCGCAGTGGTTTTGGCTTGTAATTTACAAAATGAAGAGTTTTTGTGCTCGCAGGAAATGTAGACCCAAGGAGTGTGACCTCACTAGACAAAGTCCTGGCTCATTTATTTTAAGAAGAATTTAGGGAGCATTTGGTAAGTCCTGAATAGCCGATAACATGTGACAGAATGCAGACATGGGATCCCAGGATGTGGAACACCAATAGGACACGGAACAGGGGCACCTGGGTGGCTCAGTCAATTGGGCATCCAACTTCAGCTCAGGTCATTCTCACAGGTTTGTGGGTTTGAGCCCCTCATTGGGCTTTGTGCTGATGGCTCAGAGCCTGGAGCCTGCTTCAGATTCTGTGTCTCCCTCTCTCTCTCTGCCTTCCCCCGCTTGTGCTCTGTCTCTCTCAAAAATAAAAAAATAAAGATTAAAAACATTTTTTTAAAAAAGAAGAAGAAGAAAGATGTGGAGCATGGTGGGTCCTGGAGTGCTATCTGCACTGGTCTCTAAAGAATGATACGAAAGTTTCAAGGATAAAATTGAGAGTGAAGAGTGACATACAGTCTTTGAAGTATTTGCATGATGCATGAAAGGAATTTTTTTGACACACAACAGCAACTCCATAAATAAGGAGGGATAAGAGTGAAACCAAAGGCTATCTCACCATCTCCTTTAAACCTACCAAAAAAGGACCAAGAACTTATGACAAAAATATCCCAACTTTGCAAGATCCCTGTCCTTTGTCCTCCAGTGAGTAGTTTCCCATCCAAACATAATATCTTCAGACAGCTGAAGCTACATTTATCAGAAAAGCGCACAGATCACAGCTATATTGTCTTATCTTGATGGCCACGTTTGAGAATCCTTTGAAATGTTGCAGCCATGGTAGCAGGAGAAGCTATAGTAGAGACAAAATGCGGATTTCATTAGGGAGTTGTTTTTTCCCAGCCCCTCAAAGGTCTCTGTTTGAGCCTCTCACCTGGTAGCACAAAGGCTATTAAATCACTTGAATGAAAGGGTCAGGTTACTAGCTGTGCAAGTATGGAAGCCGGCAAGCCCTGTTCGGACCACCCAGCTTTCCAAAGGGTGGCAACACCAGATTCAGACAAGATAAGAGGCTGCTGTCCTCTGTAACCTGGCCAGAGAAACAGGCTTTCTAGAGAGTTACAGAACCCCATTGTGAGGAATGGACTGCGTGCTCTGGGAAGGTAGAATTTGCCTAACGCACTACACTGGTGGTCGTGGTTTTAAGAAAACTTAAAGGAGATTTTTGAAGAATCTTAAGAGAAGCAGTCAGACAAATCTTTGGGCCTATTTTCAGAGCAAATGTTACAGAGCCCCCATCCCCCTTATTAGTGTTTAGAAGACAGAGACATATCCACCAATGTCAGGATGTCCCAGCTGGGAAGACACTCAAATCCATTTAGTTCAACCCTTTCATTATATTGATGGAAGAGGTGAAGGTTAGAGAGATTAGATGGCTCGTCCAAGATTGGTTAGCAACAGCTAAGGCTTGAAACACCATGAGGTTCTGTCCACATATTGATCTTTTTGGAGTACCTGGAAAGCAGCACAGAGTCTGACGCATAGCAGGCACCCGCAAACGTTTGGGGTAAGGGGTAAGGAAAAAAAGGAAGGGATGCTGATGACCACATCTTATTTCCTTTTTACCATAAACAGACGATGGCATAAAATGTTGCCAGAGATGAGGATGGAGACTGAGTTCTTACTTGCTTATGTTGTCAAATGAGGACCTCAGCATGATCGAGGAATCGCTTCCTATTTCTCCCAATCCCTGTTGGTTGGTCTAATCTAAACGCAGTTTTTAGGAGTTAAACGGTCCTGAACAGTCCCAGGAAATAATCCATCTCAGTTCAGCTCAAGTCAGCTTAGCCCATCCCCAGAAGCAGAGCATCCTAGGAGGCTTGAAAAAATTAAGAAGAGGGGTGCCTAGGTGGCTCAGTCAGTTAAGTATCTAACTTTGGCTCATGTCATTATCTCATGGTTTGGGGGTTCAAGCCCCGTGTTGGGCCCTGTGCTGACAGCTCAGAGACCACTTCAGATGCACTGTCTCCTTTAGTCTCTGTACCGCCCCCCCCAGACATGTGTGCTCTCCTTCTTTCTCTAAAATGAATAAACATTTTTAAAAAAATTTTTTTAAGAATTAAGAACAGCCCTGAGTTGAAAGTTGCTAAGATGAACATTGCTTGGCCATGTGGGGCCAGATCAGACCATACATCCCAACACATGGAGGCAGGGACATGGCGTGCAGGTACCTTTGCCCAACTCCTTTCCTCACTTATAGGAACACAAAGGCAAAGATGGAAAGAGGAGCAAGGAAAAAAAAAAAGGAAAGAGGGGCAAGGAATGATGAGGTTGGTGGGAAACTGGTTAAAAGCCCTGGTTTATCAGCCAAGTATGCAAAGCCATGCTGCTTATAACTTATATTCAACATCAGCTGAAACTTAAGTTTAGTATTTAGCAGTGAGATTTAATATTAACCAAGTGCGTGACAAGAATTTAATTGCCAAGGATACAAAGACCAGCCCTTCTCCAAGTGAGATCTCACCTACTTCAGAATCACCTAGGTGAATTCTCAGCCCCTCCCCAGGCCTATAGTCCTTTGGGGGTGTGGCCCAGGCAACCACCTTTCAGCTAGCACCCAATGGTTCCTAAACACACTGAGTTTTGAGAATCTGATGGAAAGAAAGAGCAAAAATAGTTAACATTTTCCTAGAATCACACTGAAGGCACTTTATCGAGTATAGGCAGGGGCCTGGGAAGCGATTCATGAAGCTTCAACTAAAGCTAGGAATGGTGGTGTCAGTTTTCCAGAGCAGAAACCTAAGGGGTATCTGGGTCACTAGGTCTGGTCTCCAAAGCAGCCCTGCAGAGGTTAATCTCTCCAGCAAGATTCCCAGGCCATAAACTCCAACCAGCCCCGGAAATGCTCTTTTCAAACTTTGTAATTCACACCAGGCAACAAGACTGAACACAAGAGTTTAAAAAAAAAAAAAAAGCAGAAAAGAAAATTAAGTGCCTGGAAAGTTATTTCTGTGACCCAGATGAAAACTACAGAAAACTATTCACTATAGCACGGAAGTCTCTGGACCAAATCTGGGTAAGGAGCAGAAAGGAGCAGAAAGAACTTAAAAATCAGTCCAAAACTTCAGAACAATATGATTTCTTTGCCTCTCCAACACTCCCTCTCATCCTCATAAAAATAGAAACCACGCTTTTAAAAATATATATGCAAATATAACTAAACTAAACCAAGGTATCCAAAAATCATCTCATGCAAATTTCTATCTCTTTATATCATGAGGAAATTATCTGCGGTGTTAATTTTTTCACCATTTCCCTTTGCCATTTCATTTAGCTGAGAAGAAACTTTCTGAAGGGGTGGGGGGTGTTGGATTACAAAATTTAAAATGGTGATTTCGTTGGTGAGTCCCATTGGGATGGATTCAGACGAGAGTGATAAACTGTGTTACATAATAAAGAAGTTCCCATTTGGGCATATGGCTTTTTTAACAGTGCAAACTGCCACCTTCCGAGTTTCCACGAGAATTAAACTTTTGCAAGCCGACTCTTCAGTTCCTTGAAGTGACGGCCACCATGCAAACGACCTCCGGGCCATTCTGCTAACAGAACATTCACAGCCAAGATGAGGGGAAGCACATAAAGCGGATACTTACAGGTAGTGGTTTTCCTTTCCAAGCAAAAAAGCTACAAACCCTCGAACCCGGGCGGGCGGTAAGAGTCACTGACCCGGTAATCTCTGGTTTAAAGGGTTTGGGGGGTGGAGTGGAGGGGAGGGGGGACCACAACCCAGGAAACGAAAGAGCTGAAATTCCAGTCTTTCAGGTCAGCTGAGTTTGAGCTTTCTTTGTACGAAAAATCCATGAACCCACCCAACAGGAAGATACAGACTTGAAGTTCACATACTCACTCCAGCGTCCTTGCTGGTCCCCTGCAAGACTGCTGCTGCTGCTGCTGCTGCTGCTGCTGCTGCCACGGAAACTTCCCGACTGCCCAGCCTCAGGACTCCTCCTGCGAAGGGCAAGAAAAAGGATGCCTGCGGTGCCTGCGGGGAGCCCGACCTCCCTGGCGGAGAGCCAAGGCTCTCCGGTCCCTTCTGCTGGGCGGGCCCGCGCGGGGACAAAAGTGCGCCGTTGTGAGTAAGGTCGCCGGCTCCCCCGCCTAGCCTCTCCCCAGCGTCCCCTTCCACTATTAGTTCTAACTGCTCCGCCACTGGCTGAGCCCAAGCTGCCTCTCCCGCCCGCAGCTCCCAGGCACACCCGCTCACACACGCAGCACGCGCACGGACACACATACACACGCTGCGTGTACCCAGTCGCCCACAACACACCTCACCCGGGGCGCACACTGGCTGCCCACACACACACATACCCACACATCGACAAGTTCACGTGCGCGCACGCATATTCACACACCCTCACACGCGCGTGTGTGCATACTCACACATGTCACACACACACATGCTAAGACCCACCCCCACGCATACTGACACACACCCCTGTTGACCCCCACCGCGTGCATCCTCCGACACTTTTTTCCTGGCCCTTCAAACTCTTCGGACACTTTTTTTCCTGAACCCCTTTTCTTCAAACAAATTCTTCTGAAAGGTTTTTTGTTCAAAGACAGCCAAGATGCTCAGCACTCAGAAAGGAGGAGGAAGGGGAATGAGCCTCTTTTAACTTTTGTCACGGCCTTTAAAGAAAAAGAAGAGCTTCCGTTTTTAAGCACCACCTTAGTTCATCGGTCTACAAGGCTTTTCACGTGTTCGATTCTTTTCCAAAATTCACCAAAATTCCATTAACTTCATCTCATTTACAGGGAGTTCATGACCCCACCGATTCGGCTATATCACAGGTCAAGAAATGTCCCTCCGAAGTCCGTTTCATTAAAGTTGTCAGGGTTCAGTGGTGGGTGAGAGTCTTATTCCCTAACAACTGCATAATAAAATGCTTTCCTGTATTTCATCTACACGGGGGAAAAGAGTAATGGCATACCATCTGTCCTAACTTTTAAGTTGACCATAAATACTTTGGAGGTAATGTTTGGAGGTAATGTTTATACTGAGGCAAGTCTGGCTATTCTAAACTTTAACCAAAAGCACATGGCACTATAAATCCAGTTCAATCTAGGGGCAGCTGGGTGGCTCAGTCAGTTGAGCATCCGACCTCAGGTCGTGATCTCTCAGTTATGAGTTCAAGCCCTATGGTGGGCTCCGTGCTGACAGCTCAGAGCCTGGAGCCTGCTTGGAATTCTGTGTCTCCCTCTCTCTGATTCCCCACCCCCTGTCACTTAAGCTCTGTCTCTCACCCTCTCTCAAAAATAAATAAACATTAAGAAAAAAATTTTAAATCTAATTCCATCTAGATTGTGGCTCCCCTTAACAAGGTCACCACACCGTACTTTCTTCTTTGGGAATAATGAGAAGAGAAAAGGAAATTGAAAAGAAATGAAAGAAAATTATATGAGGCAGGAAAGGATGGAAGAAAAAAACGCAAAAGAGAGAAAAACCATTATTTTATTTTACAACATGCTTTATGGATACATACACACTTACTCAAAGTCACTAGAAACTGAAAATTTTCAAAAATCTCTTGATTCATCCCATTTGCTCTGATAATAAATGGGTGAAACTGCTTGAAGAGACACTAAGCTCTATACACATAAACAAACATTGTTTGCTAAACACTATGAACAAACAAAATATAGTGACAATGTATGACTTGTGAACGAATCTTCAAAGGACAGGAAAAAAGCCTTATTAATGATGATGGTTAGGAAACACAATGTGATAGACAATTGTGTTCTCAGATTGAATTTAAAAATGTACTAGCCCATGAATATCTTAACTGCAAAGAAATAAAGATGATATTAGACACTATTAATTGAGAATGAAATCCATTTGGTAAAGGAATGACAGGTAGTTGTGTTCATGTTTCTCCTAACATCTGGGCTAAATAAAGTTTATGGATTAGTCTAGAAACAGAAATAAATGCTTTACATCACTTCGATGGGGAGAAAATACCTTCAGCATTCTAAGCAAAAAGTAACGAGCAAACTAAGATTGAAACGTATTTCAAAATGTCAGCAAGAAATGTAATTTTCTTTAAGTTAATTAATATACCTATGATGCTTGGCCTAACTTTATGCTGAACATATTCTAGAATAGGCAGAGATAGAGATAGGCTAGCCAAAATACCTTGAAATCCGAAGTGCCTGCTTATACAAATAAGTCACTTTCTCTCTCAAATCTCCAACAAATGGATAGGGGCTGTTAAAATAAACCATTATCAACTTTAATAAAGTACTCTTCGAACATGTTGAAATGCAAAGCCAAATGTTTAAAAATAACAAGCAAAGGGACAACAAAGAACTCTTCCCCTAAAAATATGTGCTGTTGTGTTGGAACAAAATGCATTTTAAAGGAATCATTCTATTTCTAACCTTAGGGTTGGAGTGATGTGAAAACCATAAAATGTTTTGGAGATTAGCATGTGTTGGAGATTAGCATACCCTTTTGGACTGACACATGTATACTTTTGCGGAACTGGCATAGAATATAGCATTCTCCCGGAAGAATGCAAACATCTGCACCAACAACTCACGTGAGAGAATTAGGAGTCTGCCTGTTAACTGTTGACGATGGCACTAAGCACATTGCCTGTGACAATGGTTTTCCCCTGAGTCTATAAACTCCGCTGATCAAGGGGAGCAGAGCTGTAACAAGACTCTTAGTCCAGGGTGGAAGGGTCACTTTAAATAGACAACTTAAAATGAGAAAAGTAAATAAAAGCAAAGCAAAATAAGATACTCTGTACAACAGGAGGGAATAGAAACACCACCCAGCAAGAGTGTTTGAGGCAGCGCTTGCTGAGCTCAGGGTTCAAAGCTGAGGGGAATGAAACAACCCTTGAGCGAGGCAGGAAGGGCAGGAGGGTTATCTGCTCTGCTTGAAATCAGAAAAGTGTAGACTGATATCATTCTTAGACAAAAGTGCCCGGGTGCCTGGGTGGCTCAGTTGGTTAAGCGCCTGACTTCCGTTCAGGTCATGATCTCGCAGTTGGTGAGTTCAAGTCCTGAGTCAGGCTCTGTGCTGACAGCTCAGACCCTGGAACCTGCTTGGGATTCTGTGTCTCTCTCTCTCTGTCTGCCCCTCCCGCCCCCCTCTCTCTGTCTGCCCCTCCCGCGCCCCTCTCTCTTCCTTTCTCAAAAATAAATAGACACAAGCACAAAATCCTAAATAACATATTTTACAAATTTAACCTAGCTATGTATTTTGAAAGATACTATGACCAATATGGTTCATTTCAGGATTGCAAAGATGGTTCAAAATGAACACTTTAAAGGAACCAAAGAGGCCACACTATTGTCTTAAAAAATGCAGAAGAGTGGACCTTGGTAAAATTCAACATCCATTCACTAAAAACAAACAACAACCAAAGCCATAGTTAGCCAACTAGGAATAGAATGGAAGTCTTTTCACATGATCAAAGACATCTATCAGAAATCTTATGTCTCATGGTAAAAATGTTGTAACCAGTAAAGAAGAAGCAAGCGCCTGCTACTTTCCCCACCGTTCAGCATTGGATAGGAAATCCTAGCCGATATAATCCGTCAAGAATAAAAAATAAGGCATGAGGGGGCGCCTGGGTGGCTCAGTTAGTTAAGCATCCAACTTCGGCTCAAGTCATAATGTCGCGATTTGTGAGTTGGAGCCCCGCGACAGGCTCTCACTCTGCCCCTCCTCCACTCATACCCTTGCATCTCTGTCTCAAAGCTAAATAAAACATTTAAAATTTTTTTTAAAAACAAAAAAAGGCACGAGGAGTGGCGAGAAGAAAATAGCCATATTATTTGTCAAAGCTATGAGTCTCTCTATAAAATAGCTATTTAAAAAATCTTCTGGAAGAGGGTGATCCTGAGGGGAAAGACACTGAAGTGACAGACCTTCCCAAACACATACCAAGTAATCCACCTGTTCACAAAGCAATCCTTCTCCCAGCATTTTATTTTGTGTCTGGAGTCAATAGTCCCGCTGGAGATCTAAAAGAATTAATGATTTAGGTCCTTTCATTTTATGAAGGCTGATACTCAAATAATGTGCTTTACTGAATCCATTAGAGCACATGTTTCCCATCCTTCATTTCAAGCCTATCACTTGTGGAAATGGGAATTTCAGACTAAGAATTCGCGTTACATCGCGTTACATGTCCACATTTGTCCACCAAACTCCTGCAGGAAATCAGAATAAACGGACTCATTTCATTCCACTGTGCCCTCACAATCGAAAATCAAATAGGCAGTGCACTTTTCTCATTAATAATTAACTTGAACATGGCTTCAAATGCCAGCATTAAAGTAAACCGAGCTTAAGATTTTTGCACACATGTTAAAAACAGGAAAAAATCATCAGGAATCCTTGTTATGTCCATCTTTTATAGGAAAATGGAAAGTGCACCAAAGGCAACATAAGCAATTTAATGTTAAGATGTGTTGCTTTTCAACTATCTTTGTGAGATCTGGGAGTGATGTGGTTTTCCAGAGCTTAGCACCAGGAACAATCTTATCTTTCCAAGCACAAGATAAGGAGTAGGGAGTCTTCACTTATTGAGCCTGAAAAACTTTCCTAATTCCAGCTCCCTCAAAAGATGATGCACTTTGCATTATAAGGAATCAAAAGAAAAATAGTTGTTATGTTTTTTTTGTTTTTTTTTTTAACTCATGGCAACTTAGCCTAAGTCAGAACTGTGCTCTGAAAGCAGAAACAAACCGACAGGCAAAAGGTGTTTTTCACATCTTAGAAGTAAATGGTACAAATCTAATAAAATCCCCGACTTGTTTAGAAAGATGAAGCTAAAGTCAACACTGAATGTGTCTTGGAGGAATTAGAATGGGCTGATCTATTAAATGATCTGCAACAAGGATTACTGAACCTTAGTATAAGCTAGGTTCTGTGCAGATCATGGCAGCGGAGGGTGGTGGCGGGGGGGGGGGAACAGAGGTGAGTAAGATCTAGCCCCTGCTCTCAAAAATCTTACAATGCAATCAGAGAAGATAAGAATATAGAGAGAAATATTGTCTACTGGGACGTGATTAAAGATAACTAACAATTATTGAACATGTGCTCCCTTATGTACATG